ACTATTTCTAATACAAACCAGGATGCTATTGGCCTTGACCAGTTGGACACACTGCTGGCTCATATTCAGCCAACTGTCAACAACTCCCCCATGTCCTTTTCCACCAGGCAGCTTTCCAGCCACTCTTCCTCAAGCCTGTAGTGTTGCATGGGGTTGTTTTGACCCACTTAGACTTAGTTGAACATCATGCACTGCTGGCTCATATTCAGCCAACTGTCAACAACTCCCCCATGTCCTTTTCCACCAGGCAGCTTTCCAGCCACTCTTCCTCAAGCCTGTAGTGTTGCATGGGGTTGTTTTGACCCACTTAGACTTAGTTGAACATCATGCAGTTGGCCTCAGCCCATTGATCCAACTTGTCCAGATACCTCTGCAGAGCCTTCCTACCCTATCTGCTTGAGCAGATCAACATTCCGGCACAATTTGGTGTCATCATCTGCAAACTTATTGAGGGAGCACTTAATCCCCTCATCCAGATCATCGATAAAGATATTAAACAGACCTGGCCCCAGTACTGAGCCCTGGGGAACACCACTTGTGACCAGCTGCCAACTGGATATAAGTCCACTCGCCACCACTCTTCAGGCTTGGCCAGCCAGGTTTTTTTACCCAGTGAAGAGTATGCACATCCAAGCCATGAGCAACCAGTTTCTCCAGGAGAATGCTGTGGGAAATGATGTCAAAGCAACAGGGTGAAGCTTAAGTGAGCTAGATGTTTACATGTTTACAGTCTTTAGTTGCAGGCTTGCTGTTTGCATCTAGATAAAAAAAGATGTCAAAAACTCTCTGTAGAGGGATTTATATAGCCTTGTGTTTCTTTTCACTTTGATGGAAGTCTGGAATTTTGCAAAGAGTTGTGCAGTTGTTTGCTATCCACTTACTAATCTGCATCAGACCCCTATGCATGCTTCTGCGCTGTTCCCTTTGCAGACAAAATAATAAATTGCCTAGACAGTTATTTTTTTATACTCCTGTGCATAAAGGAAGTTAATTCCTGTCAAAAAGGCCTTCATTTCTTTCCTGTTATGAAAGAAGCACTTCCTTTTATTTAACTACAGTAGATCTCTATAGAACAAATTCTAACAGCATCAGAAGCCTTCGATGTATCTGCAGTGTTTACTAATAAAGATGCTTTTGCTTGAGTGATGCTGCCTTATATCATGTTCTTGGTATGAAGTACTGCTTTTCATTAATGCCACATGTAAGTGAAAAGAGCTTAGACTTGCTCAGCAAAATATTTATCTCAGTAACTAAGATGCATATCATAGAATCTTTGGGTTGGAAGGGACCTTTAAAAGTCATCTAGTCCAACCTGCTTGCAATGAGCAGGGACATCTGCAACTAGATCAGGTTGCTCAGAGCCCCGTCCAACCTGACCTGCAATGTTTCCAGGGATGGGGCATCTACCACCTCTCTGGGCAACCTGGGCCAGGGTTTCACCACCCTCATTGTGAAGCATTTCTTCCTTAGATCTAGCCTGAATCTATCATCTTTTAGTTTAAAACAATTACCCCTTGCCCTATCACCAAGCAGATGAACTAAGAAATGTATTTTCAGATACAGCAGAGCAACTTGCTTAAGTACAAACTTAAGTACACACCCTTGCTACACACTTGCCGTGTCGTAGTGCATCCTGTAGGTTGCAGCTACTAAATATAATGTTGAGAACGACCAGAAAACTTTGATTCTGTTGAGTCATTCAAAATGAGATGATGTTTCTGGATTTTAATTATCTTTCCTGTCTTAGTGTGCTTATGCTATCATCGGATAAAATACCGCTCTCCAGCGCGTCCGTTTGTAAGAGTACAAAAGCAGCTAGGACATAGCTGAGCATCTGGAGGCAGAGAGGCCCATCAACCAAATTAAGAGATTATGACTCATTCATGATGTGTTCTAGTTCTTTGATTTATACTTTATCCTATGCTTCATCTTTTCACTGTATGCTTGGATCAGCACCATGTCTTCCCACAACCTTGCAGTAAGCTAGGCTTTTAATTGTTAACATTCCTTCTTCCTCAGAAACTCTTTCCAAGCAAAATTGTTTGAATTGCAAATGAAAATAAAGGTGGACAATAATGGAGGCAGAATAGAGCTGCAAATACTGCCATCCAACCTACTTCATTTTTGCCTGATAAGATAGAAAAATTGTGCTGATCTGGTCAAAAGTGCAGCATTTTGGGTTAGTATCAATGCTACCGATAAGAACTTTTTTTATTAGCAGTTTTGGGGGTTTTTTTGGCAGTTTTGGGGTTTTTTTGGTGAGACTTATTCGTATAACCTGAAAAAGTTTAAATTTCTCTGAATTATTTTGTAGATATTTGTATCTTCCTGTAGCTTCCAGGAGGAATTTGTGTGTAAAATGTTTTAACAGAGATTTGTATCTGGCTTCATCTATAGCCATGTATGTAAACATGCATCACAGCATGCTTTTCCTTTGTGATCTACAGGTTAGTATCTGCTGGAGCTACTAAAGTTTATGCCATTCTTACTCATGGCATCTTTTCTGGTCCTGCTATTTCTCGGATTAATAACGCATCATTTGAGGCTGTTGTGGTAACTAATACAATCCCCCAGGAAGAAAAAATGAAACACTGCCCAAAAATTCAGGTACAGTGGTGTTTGTGTCATCTGTTTAAACTCTGGATGTGTATTTTACTACTCACTGATGCTAGTATTTGTGTGTTGAGAGGTAAATAGTATTCTAAAATACAGAGTGCAGCTTTGTTTGCAGAACATCTTGCTAAAACGTGCCAAAGAACTCTTTTAAGGGGATTCAGGTAGTACAATAGAGTATTGTAAAATATTAGGTATTGGCAGCACATTGAGTATGCCTGACAAAGAGTGGCAAATATAAAATGGGGTGGGGTTTTGGGAGTTTTCTTGATCAATGTTATCATACAATATTTGTATGTAGGAACTCTAGTTATGTTATTGTGGATGCCGCAGAAACTTTAGATGATGACTTTTTTTAAATACACTAATGAAAATGCTCAAGATAACAATGACTTATGTTTCTTTTTAAAAACCAAACTGAAAATACAAAGCTGACTTATGTCAGTAAGCTTTTACATGAGCTTGTTCTGGGAAGTCATGTGTCCCTTTTGGAGTTTTTCCTTTGCGCAGAGCAGAGGAAAGCATAAAAGATTGTGGGTTTTTTTAATGCAACATTGAATTTTTTTAAAAGCTTAAACTTTATTTGGTATTTATTGAAATAAGGCAAACACTTAAAAGGTGTACTTGCCTGAAACTGTATTTGTGTCAAGTAGACACTGCCATCTGATGGCTAGAATAGTTTCTTCTTAACAACACGCTCTGTGCCAGAATGGCAGAAGTCTTCAGCAGTATGCCTGTGTGGCAATCTTAGTCAACGCTTTCTTACTCAATTTTTGAGTTTGTACTTTGTATTAATGCAGTTCTTAACATATCTGTAAGTGCCTAATGCTTCAATATTATTTTACTTCCTAGGAGAGGTAAGAGAGCACAAGGGTAAATTGAATATTTGTTCACAAGTTTATAAGCTGTATAGTTTATTATTCTTGGTATTGCATAAATTTTATCTTCTTGATTTTTCTTTCAGTTTATTGACATTTCCATGATCCTGGCTGAGGCAATTCGAAGAACACACAATGGTGAATCTGTGTCTTATCTGTTCAGTCATGTCCCCTTGTAACTGCAGGAGATTACATTGCATCTTTGCAAAGGTCCCTTCAGCTGGCACTGTTGTTTTTAACAATGCATCTCAACCACAAGAAATTAGTATCTTTGTACAATTCCAGAGCTTGTATGTTTAATTATTATATTTGTCTTGTAATTACCATTTGTTCTTTGTAAATGGACAATAAATCTCTGTCTTGCGGAAACTTTATTAATTCTCTTGAGAATCTGGAAGTCTTGTGTGTTGTGTAAGTTCTCTTCATGTGCCTCTCCTCACTTTCTGCTTAAACTGCTGCTTCAGATTCTTTTTTTCTATGCAGAACTACAGACTGTTCACAGAACTTAATGTGATGTATGCATGTAAAATCATTTTCTGTGTTAAGCTAAATGCTGCAGGCTTGGGTATCTTGTATCTATTCATCTGTCAGGCAAGCAGCTGTTGTCTTTTGTTTTGTTATGTTTAACTACCATGAATAGTATTTTGTAAGCCCTAACAGAATGTAAACTTCATGTTAACTTTGAGGAACTGTTGACATACCCATAGTATTAACTGTGTTTCCATACACTTCATGTCCTTTTTTCCACAAGAAGTATGTGGCTGCTGTTTTCTTTTGTAAAGCTCTCATTACATTAAATTGTTTGCTTAACATCTATTCTGTCCAGTTACTGTCTTCACTTGAGGCTGTTGTGGTAACTAATACAATCCCCCAAGAAGAGAAAATGAAACACTGCCCAAAAATTCAGGTACAGTGGTGTTTCATCTACTTAAACTCTGGATGTGTACTACAGCATAATAAGATTAATGTTTCAGTATTCCTGGGATGATTCATTTCATGTGTTTCAATAATAAGAACCAATCTTTCATCATAAGCAGTTTGGTTTAAGTTTCATTTTTTTCTGTAGGTTTTGATATTCCTTTATTGTGATCATATGAATCATTTCATAGCAGTTTTCCTGTTAATAGTGTAAAGCTTCGCTATGCAAAGTCCAAACAGCAAATTTAAACACACTTTTTTATATTTATACAAGCTGGTCTCTACTCACATTTACTTGATTAAAAAGTGTCTGAAAATACCTTTTGGGTTTTTTTTTTATTGACTGTGCAGTTTGAGAGCTTCAGGTTTCTATTACAAAGTACCACAGTACTTTACTGTGGCCCCAGACTAACTAGTCTTGAGTACTCTAACATTAGAGAATTAAAATCATTATGAAAACAGTTTTGCCTCGTGTGTGCTGAGAAAGCTATGGTTAAATACTGATAATGCAGCCAGTAATGGATGGGGGGGTGCGGATGACTAACCTAATACTGTAATTTTAGGTCTTTGAATACTTCTATGGAGTGTTTTCAGTCTTCCTGCTAGAAAGGAAGAGTTTGTGTGTATTGAGATAGTGTTCCTGCACCTAGATTATGGGAAAACTCAGTTTCCTACCTGAAATTGCAGTTGTTAAGCATAGCAAATGCTTTTGTATTTAAGAGATGCAGTTTTACTGTGGAGCTGCATAAAGAATAGCCTTATTTCATCCTACCTTGCTTATTCTGGGATATATTTATAATGATACAATGGTGTATTTTAGTGGAATGGAAAAATCCATTTTAAGACAGGTTATTCTTTTGGTTTCTGAGAATGAATCTATGGTCTTTAATTTTTCCAGTAATTTTATATTTCTTATATGTTTTTCCTATATGAAAATGTGTAAAACAATTTCACCTGTACTGCTTTCAGCAAGGAGTACAGAAATGGGGTATATAAGATATTGTGATGATGATTCAGTTCAGCCACTAGTTCTCAGTGGAATTCCTCATTACAGTTGAATTTTAAAAAATACATTATAACACAATGGAAATTAATTTAGATTATTGTTTTACTTGGTAAAGCAATTTTTTAAATGTAAGAGTATCAACATACTGTCTTTAAATATTACTTTGCAGTTAAGTTGTTAATGCCAAGTCTGTGGCCACATAATTATACCAAAGTTTAGACCTTATTACTACATAAAAGGTATACGATCCATTTAATGCACAGTATCAAGTCGGTTACTTTATAGATCAGATCTTTGTTACAGATAAAATGCTGAATTGTTTGCCTTTACACAAGCATTGTAAATAAATCTTGAAAATTACTTGTGCCAAGGGGTTGATTGTGTGTTTTTATTCTTTTGATGATATTTTTTTTTTTTGGAGACCATGCCCTGCACAGGTTGAATAGGGAAGGATGTAGGCATTGACTCTCATGCAAACCTTGCTCGTCAATCATGCTCCAGCTGTCTTGGACATAAGGAAGAACTGTTAATCACACCAGACTGCTACACATCTTTATAATAAGAAAGATCATCCTTCTCCTTCTTTCTAGCGTCTGGCAAGAAAGACACAAAGTTTAAATTTCATTGGGAGTTTGAGTTAACACTTTATGAGCAGTTGAAGTTCTTGTTTCTCAGATTGTTGTAAGTAAACCCACTCAACTGTGTTTAACAGATGAGAAAGGGGAAAGAGCAGGAGGAAAATACAGAATTAAGCTTACTCTGTCTGCTGCATTTTGTGCACTTGAAATGCTTATGATGAGTTCTACAGGTGAATTCCAACAGCTCTGCGAAATCCCCATCCATTTTGACAAAATTAAAAGTCATGGAAACAGAAAATTGTGAGGTGTTTGGAGTTTAGTGGGATTCTGGTCTGAAGATCAGATGATAATTCAGCCTGGTAGGAAACTTTCTTCTTTTAGCAGCATTATAGTGAAATAAAGGAGAAAATACAACATGGGTATCAGAAGTTAGGGAGTTTACCTCGTATTTGTTTATAAACCTTATTTTGACACATTCTACTGTCCTAGTACAAGTAGAAATTTTTGCCTTTCTAAGTAAAAGTACTTGAATTTTGCCGCTTTTCTGGAAGCTCTTGTCATGGGCTCCAGGGTTTTCAATGTCAAAATCTCTTCCATAGTCCTGCTGGCAACACTATTTCTGATTACAAGCCAGGATGCCATTGACTGCCTTCATCAACTGGACACACTGCTGGCTCATATCCAGTGGACTGTCAACCACAGTTCTTTCAGCACATGGGGATAGCCTGCTCCTGTGCCTTCATTTCCTTCTTGAACAATGTCCAGCCTTCCTGGACTCCTTTGCCCTTCAGGACTGCCTCCCAAGGGACTCTGTCAACCAGGCACCTAAACAGGCCAAAGTCTGCACTCTGGAAGACAAAAGTGGCAGTTCTGCTGACCCCTCTCCTTCCTTCTCCAAGAATGGAATATTCAATCATTTCATGACCCCTGTGCCTAAGACGGCCTCCAACTATTACATCACGCACAAGTCCTTCTCTGTTCGCCAACAACAGGTCCAGTGTGGTGCCTTCCCTAGCTGGCAAACTCACCCGCTGTGTCAGGAAGTTGTCTTACACACAGTCCAGGAATATTCTGGACTGCTTCCTCTCCACTGCATTGTATTTCCAGCAGACATGTGACAAGTTGATGTCCCCCATGAGAACAAGGGCTAGCGATCGTAAAACTTCTCCCATCTGCTCATAGCATATTTGATCTGTCTCTTCATCCTGGTTGGGTGGTCTATAACAGACTCCCACCATGATAGCTGCCTTACTGGCCTTTCCCCTGACTCTTACCCATAAACACTTGACCCCATCATCGAGCTCTAGACAGGCAAAACACTCGCTGTTACCCCAGCGCCTCTCCTCCCTTGCCTATCCCTTCTGAAGA